CGGTGCGCAGGTAGCTTTTTAGCATGTATTAGCATATATGATCAATTTTTTCCGAGAAGTGGACCAGGGACCGATCTGTTCGAAGTAATCGTATTTATGGTCCGATTTGCTTAAAATTCGGTACGTAGGTAGCTTTTTGCCTGGATAAGCTTATAGATTCCTGTTTTACAATTTTCATGGAATTTCGAATATAAATAGCTTTAAGTAACGACCATATCAAAATATAATTATAATATATAATATATCTCAACTAATATATATTTAGAAAGCCGTTTCTTTGTTTTCGCAAGGCTCAAGAGCGGCTGAACCGATTTTTTTGAAACTGCCACCTGCCGCACGTGTCCCAAGGATGGTTTTAGACTGAAAAAAATCTATATGTAAAGGGGGTGTGACACTTCCCATACAAACCGAATTTCTCATGCTACATATCTCTGAAAGTGTGCATGGTAGAGTTTTGGAAATTGGTATGGAGATATACGAAATCAATCGCATACCCTTGGAGAAAAATTTTAGCTATTGTAAAAAGGGGTGTGACATCTCCCATACAAACCAAATTTTTCATACTGCTTATCTCTGGAAATTTTTTGGTAGAGTTCTAGAGTTTTGTATGGAGATGTACGAAATAAATCGCATACTCTTGGAGAAAAATTGGAACTATTGGAAAAGGGGGCGTGGCATCTTCCATTTTTCACACTGCCTCTCTTTGGAAGTGTTCATGGTAGAGTTCTGGAACTTGGTATGGAGATATACGAAATCAATCGCATACTCATGAAGAAAGAGGGCAGCTGTTGGAAAGGGGGGGCGTGGCACCTCCCATATAAATCGAATTTTTATACTGCATATCTCTGAAAGTATTCATGTTACAGTACTAGAACTTCGTATGGAGATATTTATGTAGTTGAAATCAAGCCCATACGCATGGAGAAAATTTGGGCTATTTGAAAAGGGAGTGTGAGACCTACAAACGTACCAACCTTTAGCTATCTTTGAATGAATCTTTTTATTGTTCTGTAGGTGTGTTTGTGAGTGAAATCCTCCAAGATGGTTGTACGGATTTTAACGAAACTTTTTGTGTATTTGAGTGGGTTTCTGGATGGTTTAGTTTCACAATTTAATCCGACAGTTGGCGCTGTAGTTGAGTTATTACTAAAAATCTTATTTATGATCCGATTTGGCTAATGTTTTAAATATGTATGCAATACTATTGCAAAAACGTCCTGCAAGTGGTGCTGAAGTCGAGCTATTACTAAAAATAGCCAAGTGAGAAAAGGGGCCGTGAAGGTCAGATTAAATCGACCTGTTGCACCATTGAGTATTTCGAACGCTCCTGCGTTGCAATTGGCCCAATGAATGTGATTTTCCAATATTATTATGCGTTCAAACTTTTAAGGTATTTCGTCTAAAATAAGTATATGTATATTGCATTTCTGTAGAACAATGATTCGCACCCATTTTGAAATTGCCACCTACTATACTGTAAAGCTTCTAGGACATTCACCGGGAGAACCGGGTCATTGTTGCCGCCAGGGAGTGAAGAGGAAAAAATGTATTTCGCTTTGCGAATAACCGTGCTATGAAATGCCGCAAAACTGGAGAATTTCAAGAACGGATATAACACTTTCCTTAAGTTATTTAAAGCGGCAAATGACCACCAAACCTTAATGTTAGCAGACAAATGTGCCAATGAAAATCGTCAACGTGAATTGTTGGTGAAAATGTTTGACCAAAAAGTTTCAATAAAATATATACAAATTTTGGGCGGGACGAAGTTCGACGGGTCTTCTAGTCTTTTATAAAATGATTGCAATACCTTGTCGCTTTCCTCTCGCACTATAGAAATTACCAGTTCACAGCGACGCACAGTTTGTTAATTTTAGTATCACTACCTTCTCTCGCCATAAGAAACTCTATAGCATTCTTCTTGCATTTATAACAATCAATACAGTTCCAGAAACAAGAATATTAAAAAATAAATGAAGTATGTAAACAAGTTTAGCCTTCAAACATTTGTTTAGGCGAAAATTTACCCAAATTACGCATTTTTTTATTATCGAAATTTGGATAGTTTTCAAATAGAATGTTCATATAAGAGGCAATGGAGGTTAGCATGAAGTACATCATACATATATCTGAAGTTCGAAAAGGTTCCACCATTTATTTTGTAATTTTTAAAATTATAAGATTTTTTTATTTTAATTATTTAATTTAAATAATATTTGTCTTGGCAAAATGAACAAATCTACAGTAATAAAACTAGTAAGTCGCCAAGTAGTCCAAATTGCTAAGACGTGCTTATAAATGTGTTAGCTGATTGGGTATGGCTATAAGTGGCAATAAGTGTTCCGGGGCGTATACGTTACATATATGTACAAGTACTACTTTTTAATCAATATCATGCCCGCAGTTAATTTTTCGCCCACTTGCAGAACAGCAGGTTATCTATTTAACTCGAAGTTTACCGGTTAAATTGATATATTGGCTTGCACAAATGTCTGGGAAGTTGGCATACGGTATGACGCAAAACGAAAAAAAAAAAGTTGTTCTGAGTAGCCTTCCAATAGTTCTAGAGTTCTTGAAAAGGGGAAAAAAGTTATGGATATGTTCACAAAAAAAAACTAATTTGAAAATTGGGTATACCAGATTCACGCAGCATACGACATGTGGCAAAAAGGCAAATAAAAAGTTGTTCTGAGCAGCTTTTCAATAGTTCTACAGTTCCTGAAAAGGAAAAAAAAGTTCTGCAAAATTACGTCGAAAAAACACTTTTTTCTAAAAAAGTCGAAAATGTTAAAATTTTGAAAAAAAAAATAAAAATTAAACCTGTTCTGAGTAGCTTTTCAATAGTTCTAGAGCTACTGAGAAGGAGAAAGAAAGTCCTGCAAAATTACGCCGAAAAAAAACTTTTTTCGAAAAAATCTAAAATGCTAAATTTTTGAAAACAATAAAAAATTTAATCTGTTCTGAGTAGCTTTTCAATAGTTCTAGAGTTCCTGAGAAGGAGAAAGAAAGTTCTGCAAAATTACGCCGAAAAAACACTTTTTTCGAAGAAGTCGAAAAAGTTTAATTTTTGAAAAAAATTAAATATTTTATCTGTTCTGAGTAGCTTTTCAATAGTTCTAGAGTTCCTGAGAAGGAGAAACAAAGTTCTGCAAAATTACGCCGAAAAACACTTTTTTCGAAAAAGTCGAAAAAGTTAAATTTTTGAAAAAAACTGTATTTTCGACCTCATTTTGCAGAACTTTCTTTCTCCTTCTCAGGAACTTTAGAACTATTGAAAAGCTACTCAGAACAGATTAATTTTTTATTTTTGTTTCATAAAATTCAACTTTTTCGACTTTTTCGAAAAAAGTGTTTTTTTTCGGCGTAATTTTGCAGAACTTTCTTTCTCCTTCTCAGAAACCCTAGAACTATTGAAAAGCGCTCAGAACTACTTTTCAATAGCCTTTTTGCCACATGTCGTATGCTGCGTGAATCTGGCATACCCAATTTTCAAATCAATTTATTTTTGTGAAAATATCCAGAACTTTTTTTTTCATTTTCAAGAACTCTAGAACTATTGGAAGGCTACTCAGAACAACTTTTTTTTTTTAATTTTGCGTCATACCGTATGCCAACTTTACAGACATCTTGCACAATCAATAGTTAGGAGTAAAATTAGAGTTAAATCGTTAAATATTTAGCCCAGCAATTTCCGAAGGTTAACTTGCTAACTCTACATATGTCAATTCTGTCAGTAACAAGAATAAAAAATATTTGGTGTAAACAAATATTTTTGAACACATACATATGTACGTTAGAATGCATCACCAAAAAAAGTTGCGGTTTTTCCGCCGGGATTACAAAATCTCTTATATTTTAAGACGTTCACCAGAATATATCGGAAAAATATTAAGATTTAAGCAAGCTGGGCCGATTTGAAAATACCTCCAAAAATGGAGTTTTTTATGAATAAAAATAGTTTCTTAAAGAACTTTTTGAAAAAGGTCCCATCAGATGACAAAACAGATTAGGCTTAAAAAATCTGCATATTTAAAAATCTTTTCAAATAACTGTGCCAAAACTATTCTGATTTAGAGTTATGGGATCTCGGTAGTAAGGTATTTTCACACTATTTGTACTTATTTGCAAAAATACAATTTTTTCAAATACCAACACATCTTAATTCAACTTTGAATGATGTTCGTTCATCCTACCTTTCTCTTTCATCCTTTGAATGAGCTTATTAGCAAAGAAATAAAAAGGGTGAGCTTAGGTTCAGTTATTCAAGTTTTTCTGATACCAATCTAATTTTATGTAAATTTTTTAAGCTTAAACCGTTTTGTCATTTGAGGGGACTTTTTCAAAAAAACCCATCTTTAATAAACTATTTTTATTCATAAAAAAAACTCCATTTTTGGAGGTATTTTCAAATCGGTCCAGCTCGCTTAAATCTTAATATTTTTCCGAAATATTTTGGTGGACGTCTTAAAATATAACAGATTTTATAATTCCAATGGAAAAACAGTGCCGATTTTTTTTTTTTTTTTATGGAGAGTGATGCAGTCAAACGTGCATACATGTGTACATGCATATGCATATATTAATTTTTTCCGCCTTCATCTCTGAGGTTTCGGTCAGTCTCGTGTGAAAAATATATGCCATTCAAATGCACCAAGCGTATGCAGTGAAGAAATGTCGCTGGCCAATTTGCAGAGCAATGAAATATCATTTTATTTAAGATTTGTCATATTCTTTAGCTTTTCTGTTTGTATTTGCAATTTCATATTCAATTTCAATTAATAAACGGAAACAATCAAAACAAACGTCAAAAAAGAGAGAGTGGTGCCTACTTAATTTAGAAATCCCTCGGGTTACTTAACTCTGGGCCATATATATTATATATTTAACTCTTACTTATATATTTAAGTCTGGATTTTCGGCAAGTGGGCCTAAGTCATAAAATAAAAAAATATATAAAATTCATCAAGATAAATGTAAATTAAATTTAATCTCTTCTTTAGACTGCTGAATGGACTTCCGAACACATATGCATACAGCAAGGCCCTTACTGAAGATTTAATATGTAGATATGGAAAGAACTTACCCATAGTTATTACTAGACCATCAATAGGTAAGAACTTGAATATTAATATAACCTGGTTGTTATATGCATGTATCAGAACCAGACACCTTCTACATATAGGATAAAAAAAATTTATTTAAATTTATGGAACAGAGCTTGCTTTTTAAGGTCTGATTATGCATACTTCGCATTAAACATCGCTATCGACGTTATCGACGCCCAGCCTATAACATGTGATCTATAAAGCACTCGATGTGCTTAACAGAAGGATGTACCTCCAGTTAAGGCCGGTTGTTCAGTGTCTATTATCACTACCTCCCAGTTAAACACAATTATCGACGTTTTCGATAACATGCATAAATATAACATGTATAACATACGGCCCTTATGGTCTGGTACTTCGCATAACTTCGCATAAACTTTAAACTGTAATTTCATATGTACTTTGTATGTATTTTGTGTGTGTTTCATTACCCATAAACTAGCAGAACTTTTAAAAACTTAGCGATCTGTTGAGTTTAGATTTTGCTTCACATTTTCTTAAGTTAAATTTTTGTTGCACTGGTACAAATGGTTATGCGAGCCTTTATAGCTCAGTTATGCATACTTTGCACTGCTATGCCATTTTTACGTAGAAGTCAAAACCCAACAAATCAAGTAGACATATGTATGTAATTCTGTGCATTGGGTAACCGCTTACACGAAAATCTCATTTAACAGATTTCCTATGTAACAACTCTCATGCAACGCTAAGTATGTATAAGTGAGCTATTAGTATTAAGCCAGACAATGGTGCAAAGGGCCCCTAGGGCCAGTATCTCAATGCCTGGTTAACATTAACTACAGGTTAAACATCGTTATCGCCATATATGTATGTAACAGGGTTGTTGCGAATATTATTCCGAAATAAAAGTCCTTTCCGGATAATAAACAAACCGCCTTTCCAAATTAAACAAATTGGGTATCATATGAAAGAGGACTGAAGTAGCTTTTAAACGGAAATAACGAACGACCTCTATTTATAGTTTTCTTTTTAATTTAATACTAAAGAAATTCGCATTTTTTATTGAAATACTTTTCAATATGTGCCTTTCCTCGTTTAGACATTTCCGTTTTAAAGCTATGTAACAGGGTTGTTGCGAATATTATTCCGAAATAAAAGTCCTTTCCGGATAATAAACAAACCGCCTGTCCAAATTAAACAAATTTGATATCATATGAAAGAGGAATGAAATAGCTTTTAAACAGAGATAACGAACGATCTTAATTTATATTTTTTTAAATTTAAATATTTTTAAATATCTGGCCTTCCTCATTTAGACATTTCAGTTAAAAATATATTAATGTCCTCTTTAATTTCGTACCAAACTTGTTTAATTTGGATAAGCGGTTTGTTTATTATCCGGAAAGGACTTTTATTTCGGAATAATATTCGCAACAACCCTGCTATGTAAGTCCTCTTTCATTTGATACCAAGCTTGTTTAATTTGGATGAGCGGTTGGTTTATTATCCGGAAAGGACTTTTATTTCGGAATAATATTCGCAACATCCCTGGTATGTAATACTATACTATACTACTATACTATACTATATACTCTATATTGCTATTACAATATGATCGCAATGAGTTTTCAATTCGAAATCAAAGAAAGACAGCCTATGAAAATTTTTTTGATTGTAGAAGTATACGTGTGTATTTGAAAACTACGACATAAAATGAAATGCCATATCATAACAGGGGCGGTTCAGGTAATTCAACAAACAAACACAAATTTGACGGTCTCAAATTTCCTTCAAGCCGCGATGAATATCGAAAATAAAGTGAGCGAACTTTTTTAAAAATTTAAGTTTAATGCATAAATGCTCTTAAAGCACCTGCATCAAAAACTAAGTTAAAAAAAATATATACATTATTTTAGCGGTTACGGCTCTTCGTTTTTGGAAATTCGAAAATTTAGAAAATATAAGATTTTTTCCTAATACGGTGTTCGCATGAGGCGATTTTACAAGCAACTTTTAGTCGAAAGCAAAAATCGCCTGGTGTGAACGGCCTTTCAACTAAACGGTTCCAATGAAGTTGGGGTGCAGCCAACTTTTGATTCAACTAATCGTCTCTAAAATTGCCTGGAAAATCGCCTAATGCGTATGGTATTTTATATGTTGGCCGAATCCAATAAAGCACGCTATTCGATTCCATTCTATGCTAATTGACGCCAATTGAAAATGCCAACTGATGCCAAGTTCTTCTCTAACGAATATTTTTATCCTCTGCCACCACCAGCATCCGCAGCGTTTCTCATATATTTACAAAAATTGTATTTTTTGTTAATTTTTCATATGAATTGTTTTTCAATAAGAATTTGTTCAACCGTTGCTGAATTTTGAAAAGTAAAATTGTCATTTTCAGCAGATTTTCTTATCAGATATTTCTTTCAATATGTCGTTAATCTGATGTTGGGGAATATTCCTTAAATGTACCAGCAATATAGAAGTATTACATATATAGTTATCGCCGTTATCGACTCCTTGTTATATGTTATGGAGTCGATCACGTCGATAAAGATATTTAACCTGCAGTTAGTGTTAACCAAACAATGAGATATTGGTCCTTTGAGTTTGCCTTTTCTTACGATGTAACACATTCAAAAAAGATATAAATAACCAGTTATGTATTGTAATTTTTTATACATTCGTACATACACACATTTTTTGCCTCATACTTTTCAATAAGAATTAAAAGAAATTAGTTGATGATCTTTGTCCTCGAACGGAGCTGTTTTAAATATTGCAGGGCTTAACAAAATTATAAAATAAAGTGCACTCGCGGTAACGTGAATGACTGCAAAGTCAAACAATGCATTAACTCCAGCGCGTTTTTTTCTCATTGACAATAACTCAAACAAATGTGAAAAGCGCTATAACTTTCATACAATTTTGGAAGAATACGGTGTGTGCATCACTTGCTCTGACTAAAATTGTTGCACGTCTGCACTCGCAAAAATACGAAATAATTCTTTGATCTATTATTTTTAGTGGCCAAATAATAGATATAAGAACAATCATGAGAAATGTAAACATAACAAACCTGCCAAAGCGAAACTTCAAAAGGGGCGGGATTGCCAGATGAATGTACGTAACCAATGTTTGTCCAAGACACAACCATCATATCGGTATATACACGAATTGACATTGCCACTATGAAAACGCCCACACTGACATACGATAAAAGAATCGGTGGTCACATACCACCAGGCTAGGAAAGTATTTTTCCTTTTCCGAATTGGACACGGAGCGAACCACACACATCAGCCTTCGCAAGAATGGAAGTAATCATAACCAAGGAGTTAAATTTGATTAAAAGCTGGCGACATTCAGTTAGTCGATATTCACCTATGTTTAAGCCGCCGCTTAAAACGTAATTCAGCGGCCGTGCGCGCATCCGTTGGCCATCGCTGTGCGGAGTCGAAGCGACTCCGAAAATTATTACCGAGGGCGCACGGTCGCCTACCATCCTCGCGGCAAATTAATAGACAGTTCAGCTACTACTAGGCCTGGGTAACGGCGCAAATTTTTTGGCGCTGACACACTAACTCCAGCGCCACTGTCGGAATCAGCACAGTGTGTTGGCGCAATTGCGCCTCTTCAGGCTAAAGCTCATTTCCTTTGTTGCTGCACGCTGCACCAAAGTGAATTAATTCAAGGTGATATCGGTTGAGAAAAAACTCAAGTATACCCAAGTTCAAAACCCAAAAATACAACAAACCCATCATTTTCACATTCAGAAGGACCGCGACGAATTCTAGCTGTGCTGGACATTTTACAAGAGACACTTCTATTTCGGGTGTTCTTTGCTGGTTCTTTGCGACACCCGGTGTTGTCAGTGTTCCGGTGTTAAACTAAGGTGAATTAATACAAGGTGGTATCGGTTGGGCTAAAACGAGCCAAGTTCAAAACCCAAAAATACAACAAACACATAATTTTCACATTCAGAAGGACCGCGGCTAATTTTAGCAACACCACCTTGTAAAAATTCGCCTTGTGCTGCACATTTTACAAGTGACACTTCGCTTTTGTGTGTTCTTTGCTGGTTCTTTGCGCCGCCCGGTGTTGTTAGTGTTCCGGTGTTGCTGGCGCCATTGCGTCACAGAGTTGGGAAAATCGGTATCGGCGCCAGTAACTCAGCTCTCGGTATCAGCGCAATGGCGCGGCGCCGCACTGTGTTACCCACGGCTAGCTACTACCATCGGTTAACGCGCACGCGCCCTACTATTTGATTGTTAACATTCATACGAGAGTTAAATCTAAAGGGCTAACTATAATATGAATATGCAAGCGTGCGAATACACATAAATCCTATTCTGAAACTATAATGTGCTTAATATCAAATTTCGTTAAGTTTCGCCAAACGTCATTTGCTTAAGGAAAGAGCGATACTGATCGCACCTTCCGTATGGAATCAGCTGTTTGTCCTCGTACGTATGTATGTACATATGTAACACATGCAGTGTTGCCGCATTGCTATTTTTTACCGAAATTGGTAATATTTTTCTTTATTTATCATACCTGGGGGAAATAAAACGTGGTACAAATCACTTTTGAACATTTCACAAAAGAATAATGGACGCATTTCATTAGTTTTATTTTATTTTAAAAACAATCGAATAATAATACGGAATTGTAAAAAAAACTTTATTAATTATTAAGTTTAAAACCTAAAGAACAAAATTGTATTTACCCCGAAGGAAATAATAAGTGGTACAAACAAAAAAAAAAATGACACTGGTAGTGAATGTAATATAATTAGTAGTGTGTGTTACTTCCTTGCTTAGCTATAACTTCACTCAAACGACGTGGCATTGAAGAAATAAGATTTTGAAGCGCAGACTCGCTAACTTTCGACCACTCTTCAATTATGGCCCTTTTTAAGCCCAATAATGACCCATTGGGCCCATTTTTATAGACGTTGCTTGAAAGTAGTCCCCACAGATTTTCCATGGGATTCAAATCCGGACTGCGGGCTGGCCATTGCAAAAGTTCTATGTTTCGAGTCTCAAAGAACGTTTTCGTCATGTTAGAAACATGAATAGCGGCATTGTCCTGTTGGTAAATCCATTCGTTTCCCCAAAAAGTTTCACCAAAATTGATTAATACATTGTCGAGGAGTTCAACATACATTTGGGAATTCATTCTTGTTGATATCCAAATGCTGCCCATACCATCAATGAGCCATCTCCAAAGTTTCTTGCATGGCATGTCTGTCTCTCTCGGCGAATATCTCTCCAATACTTCATTTTACCATCGGGTCCATCTAAGTTAAATTTTTTCTCGTCGCTAAAAATAACGTTATCCCATTCATGCAACCAGAACTTATATTTTTCAGCAAACTGTAGTCTTGCTTGCTTGTGGCTTTGCTTGAGCTGTGGTCCAGGCAACATTTTTTCATATCTAACGTTATCGTCTGAACTTAAAATTGGTTTAACTCGACATTTTGTCACCTCAAGAGAGAGTTGAGCTTTTATTTGGCAGAACTCAGGGATTTATTCACCGCTAAACGCTTAATTTGACGCTTGGTCCTTTCATCAATGTTTGGCGGGCGGCCCAATCGCGGTTTATTTGGTAAACCATGTGGATTTTTCAAAAACTTGTGAATTGTTTTCTTACTTCTGCACATAATTTTTGCTATATCTCTTATAGTTTTGCCTTCCTTCTTCAATTTGAGAGCAATTTTCCTTTCTGACTCGGAAAGAGGAGCTTTCGGTGCCATTTTGCTATGAAAAAAAAGAAATAAAGCCACATTACACTGAAATTCTCTGCAAATCAATAAATTTTATATTCTTTACACACTTTCTTTTATTCCGGTTATTGAAAATTCAATAACACCACTTTTTCTGCGTTTGTGCCACTTTTTTTCCTACGACCGATCGCATGATTCAATAACACAAGGCTATGTAATTTGTAAATCTGACACTCCTTTATCTAGATTTGTATTTTGGAAGTAGGAGAAAGGGGAAGAATGTGATCGCCTTTTGCGAAAACGGTAGTAAAAAGGTACTAAAAGGTGCGCAAAGTATACAATTAGAAGTAAAATTTGTATTTTTAATTCTATGTGAATTTGCAATATATTTGGTTTTTTTAATGGAAATACCAAACAATACGCAAAAATACAGATTTTTAATTTAAGTTATTCGTCATTTCCTGGAACAAATACGAAAGGGAATACCGACCGTTCAGCTATCCAAAAACGAAAAATGCAGGTCAATAGAACTTTTTAGACTCATTTCAACCATGCCAAAATTATTAAGCGCAGGTAAACTATAAAGACGTTTTAGAAGGTTAAAGTTGAATTATTTGATTTTTTTAAATATTAATATCTTATGAACCACATAACCGATTAAAAACTAATAACGTCACCATAAAAATAATCAATTTATCTTTCAGCTGATATACATAACTGAAATTGTTTTTTCTATATTTAACCAAAACCACTCAAAAACGAACTAATGTTATTTTTTCATGAAATAACCTTTTTTAGAAGAAACTGCATGATTAATGGTAAAAAAAAAATATTATTTAGAAAGTACATGCTAATATCTTTAATTCGATATACATATTTTATCATGATCTAATTTTGGGTTTTAAGAATTAAGTGATAATAAAAAATATAAATAAACAAAGCAAATAAACCTCTTATATTTTCTTTGTTTTTTACCCGCGCCAAATAAATTTGGTATCGTTGAAATCAGCGTAAAAAGTTCTATCAATCGGCGCTTTTGGTTATTTTATAGTTAAACGGTCGCAATTCTAGACTTGTTCCAGAAAATTACGCAAACGAAGGTGATGCCAAGGTATATTTACTACTAATATAACTAGAAACTGTAGAGTGAGCAACATTCAGCACAAGTAAAGGAGTCGATTTTATGTGTGGGAGCGAGAAGACTGTTTTATTACAAAAACTTTCTATTATTGAATCAAGGTGTTGATCTATGCCTACCCTTTTTAACTGAGATATCCTTTTAGAATTTTTCGAATCAGTTAAAAAAAAAATCGACTTAAAAGGTAATACAAAATATTGCGAAAAATATGTACATTTGACTTTACAGTACAATGTACAACGATTCAAAAAGAGAAATATAGTCCCGAAAGTAGTACGGTCGGTCACATTAGGTAAAGATATAATAATATCACGTACTGTAATGCAAACAATGGATCGAGAGTACAGATCTAACCCAAATGGAAAAACTTCGTAATAACTGAAATGCATATTCCTTTTATGTCAGGTAGACTTAAAACATCCGAAGGTCCTTGTTGCTAGCGCTGCTGATCATTTGCTTGTTTAATAATTAACTATTGTACAAATTTGTAAAAAAATAAAAAATAAAACACCCTTTTCATAAATATATAACTCTATTTTATTGCTTTTATACTATGTACAATCAGTTACCGCTGCTATCAAAGAACCTCTGCCCGGTTGGATAGAAGGCATTAACGGGCCAACCGGTCTAATGATTGGAGCAGCACGAGGCATTATTCGCTCAATGCACTGCAACCCCCAATACTCATCGACAGTTATACCAGTGGATAAAGCCATCAACGGGATGCTGGTAGCAGGATACAACCGTAGTAAATCAAAAGAAAAAGAATCCATTGAATTCTACAATCTCTGTATTTCAAAGAAAGAACTTTTTTCTTGGGGTGAAAGCATCGAGACTGGAAAACGATTTTTCTATGAGTTCCCGCTAAGTTATGCATTGTGGTACCCAGATGGATCAATAAAGAAGAGCTACTATCATCATCTTTTCTGCGTGATTTTCTTTCATTATATTCCAGCATATCTCATAGATTTTTTCTTGACAATTTTTGGACGAAAACCCTTGTAAGTAAATTTTATAACTCATATCCTTTAGATTAAATGTAAAAACATGTTTTATTTGTTTCAGTATGATACATGTACAAAACAAGATATCAACAGGTCTTAACTTATTACAGTACTACACCACTAAAGACTGGGACTTTCGCAACGACCATTTTCAACGTTTAAGCGATAACTTAAGTCAGACTGATCAGGAGCTGTTTGATACGTCACTAAGTCAAGTAAATTGGGAACAATACATACGTGGATATATAATTGGCATGCGAACATACATACTTGGCGAGGATGAAGCGACTATTCCAAAGGCGAGAAGAATGCTGCGCAGATTATATATTCTAGATCGCTTCACAACATACACTTTTTACGTTTTAGCCTTTTGGTTCTTGTGGCTGAATTTAGAAGGTTTTGTGGCGGAAAGTGATGCGATAATACGGTCCTCTTTGCAAATAATTTACAAAGATTATAATAAAACTGTTCATACTTAGTGTCAAGGTCGACAGTTAGAATTTGTCCATGCAAATTTATTCATCGCAATTTTTCCAGAGGAGTGTAATAACTATGTACACATCGAATTTTTATGCAAAAACATAAAACAAAAATTCAAAAATTGTGCGTATATAAGTTATTTGTAAATTTCACTTTGGGGATGCTTAAATTATACAAAAAATCGCCGAGGCAATTAAACTTAACGTTGGGACGTAGATTACCGATGTGTATACCGTTTTTCTAGACCAATTAATTTTCTCAAAATATATCCATTTTACATAAGTTTACATTGTGAGTAGAAAAAAAAATTAAAAATATTACAAGGTAAAAATTTTTAATTAACCAATAAGCCAAGTGTATGAGTAAGATTACTTCCAGCTCATATTTCAGAAAAAAAACCATTGCGTATTTTAATAAGACCATTCACAGCTTTTATATTCAACCGTCGATTTTTGTTAAAGTTTAACTCTCTTTTTATTCACAATACCAACTTTACATGAAAATATCTTGGTGAAATAACCCGATTCAGAAAAACCGTATACAGATTAGTATTCTACGACGCAAGATTTGGTTTCCATATTTCGGCGTTTTTCTTGTGTCATTTAAACCTTTAGATTTTCCGTACAGTATAATCATTCAATATGCCTACGGTGACCATCCGTTATGTTTTTTGCAGACCCGTACTGTTTTTCAAAGGTAGGTCCTGCGTAGTTTTTCAAACCTAAAAAATCTGAAAATGTACTAATTTATTCCAAGTGTCCTGCATTTGTCCCGCATTTTATTCGTTATTTTAAAATTATCGGACAATGGATGGATTTTTTGAAAAAAGTGCTTTTCGGTACTTTTCGTAGCTTTTCTTCAATATCTCATGGAAAAATCTCGCAATCAACGTAAACGACTTACAGCTCGAAGGGTATTGATGTGCCTCTTACCAAAATATATGACTTGTGGCGACTTCAATGAAAATTATTAGTGCCACAGGCGACCATTTGCATTTCGTCGTCAAAGTCGAAAAAAGTGAGATTTTCAATCAAATACGCAGCTTCATTTGATTATTTTTTTTCATTACTTTAAAAATTCGATAAAGAAGATATATCATTACAGTAAATTGTGAGCCAAAGATAATGAAAATCGGATTAGAAATGTAGATGCTATGGAGCGCAATCTGCACAAATTATATATTTTTGTAAAGGGCACTTTGTAACTCGTCGTTTACGTCGATTCATGACGTCGATTTTTGACAAATAACTGCGAAAAGTACCAAAAAAAGGGGTATTGTTTTCGTTTTGAACGACTCAAAATTTGGCTATAAAATAATCTTTTAAAGATTTTCACTTTTCGAGTAAGCCATTGTAATTATAATATGTTTTACTATACTTTCATAAATATTCATGTATAAAAAAGATTAATATCGATATCATTTTAAAGTTTAAAATGTATTAAGAATTTAGAATCATAAATACTCTTTTGATATTTTTATACTACGTAAATATATGTAGGCATATTTTTGAAAAATTGTCCTTCATTTTGAATCAATATTTATGGTCACCGTAAATATGCCACATATTTCCACCTAAAAATAATTGATATTTATTTTTTTTATTTAAAATATTTATTTTCTGTAAAGTAAGATTTTCCAATATACTCAAAATCATCAAAATGTGCTTTGAAAAAGCTCAGTATACAATGTGTGCAAAATTTAGATTTGGATCAATCGGAATAATTTTGTATGCAAATAGTACGGAGCAGATATGGGCATGGCCACTAAAAAAAGCCCAGGCCCGCACGTGTATATTTTAATTGTCCTAACCTTATACATTGTTAAAATAAAACACATCTTAAGCAAGGATCACACGATTTGTACATTTGTGCAGATTTGTCCATTTTCACCGTTGCAGAGTGCTGATGGTTGGAAAGTTGTTATTGAGCTGAACTCATCTATACATGTAATAAAATGCCTAGAGGTACGTTATAGATAAATACTTAAAAAAAATTAACATGGGGAGTCTTTATTAGAGCAATAGAAGCCAAATCAAAACTGTTTAAAAATTTTTTTGTGTCTGTCTGTATGTTTGTACGCGCATCACTCGAAAACTAATGCATGGAATTGAATGCAGTTTTCAGCGATGTATTGCTAGAGGTCTAGCATAAAATATAGAGAGACAAAAATTAGATAATTGCCACCTGTTTTAAAATTTCAGTTTAGGTAAATTGATAAGGTAAAGTAAAGATTGCAATATGGCAGTCAAAAGAAAGAGGTTTAAGAAGACTTACCGCCAGAAATATTTTTTTGGAGATTGTCACCTGTTTTAATTTAATTTCTTTGCTAAGGTAAATTAAATATCGCAATATGGGTATAAACTAGGGGTGCCAATCCCGGGATACCGGAATCCCGGTGTTTTTGACGTCCCGAAAATTTTGAAATATCGAATTGATATTAAGAATATGTTTATGAATTTTGAAGTATGATTTTTGTAAAATGCCGTTGTGACTGCAATTAACAAAAAGCTTGAAACTGTACTTCTAAATTGCAGTCTGAGCCTTTTTGGAAGAAGATTTCAATGAATTTACTCATAGCGTCGCTAATGTAAACGAAACAGAGAGTTTTAAGGAAAAGTTAGATAATTTTTTGATCAATCTGCACAAAACTTCCTCAAATCGAAAAACGAGAAACGTGCTGGTAAAGAAAGTTCAAATATTTTGTAATGGAGGAGATAGGGGTCATTATCTTCAAATGGATTATGTCTGCCTTTTGCCAGTTCAGCCTAAAAGTGTTGATGCCGAAATATGTTTTTCATCAGTAGGTTTTGTATGTAAAAACTGCAGGTCAAGCTTAGAAGACTCCGCTTTGAATGCTTTGCTGCTCTTATGAAAACATTTTAAGTGCAATAATAACAACACCGGAAAAAGGAGAGTGTGTTTTTAACCAGACCCACCTACCAACATGTATTTCTACCCGCTGAATCCGATTCTGAGATCCGTTTGACTCGTACACCCTCAAAATTTCTAGTAAATTGGGAAAAAAATGGCCAAAAATTCTCCATTCGCCATTTCTTTATAGAGTAGAATAAACATGTTTAGAGAAATTGTTTTTGTATATTTTTGTTTTATGTTTTTTTATTAATCGCTACTTTCAAAAGTACCTGATATTTAAATTATTATTTGTGATTTATACGTTCCTCAATCACATGGTTTTTTAAATACAATTAAAAAAATGTTTTACTTTAAAATTTGTCTGATTGAATAAATAAATATCGCTAGCGTAGAGTGCAAAGTTGATAAGTCCCAATTTAAAAATTGTACAGGAGAGGAAAAAACTTCGTATAGCCATTGCCTTCAAGTATTTCGCAAAACTTTGAATACAACATTTTGCCTGTTTAAAGCAAAACTCCATACGAATCAGAGGGATTCGATCTTTATTAAAAGATTTCGAACTTTTTTAGCCTTATCAAATTTTCGGAGCTTTTTTTGGCCTTAGCAAATTTTCCTTTCATTGAATATAAACGAGAAAATATAAAACAAGGACCTTTCCCCTTTTCGAAACGATGCAATATTAATTTATCTAGCCTCCTATATCAAAATATGATTTTTCACTTAAAGTGAAGTTAGCAACTTTTCACTCTGAGCTAGCGATATATGAGTTTTACAATCACTTTATTGTAAATTTTCAATAGTTTTATTTAATGGTATGTTTAAATGCTTTCAGATATTGAATTTTTACTCATATTCATAAAATTTATGACTCAATTTGAATCCCGGGATAAATTACCTAAAAAATATCCCGAAATGCCGGGATCCCAATTTCCCTGATATTTTGGCAACCCTAATCTACACATATATATAAAAATGGTGTGAAAAATTTATAGTAATTCATCAATTGAGAACGGTTTGGCCGATTTGGCTAAACATTTTTTTAGTTGTTCGTAATTGCCAGGAGAAGAAATTTTTGGGAAAACCATCCGGGAAAGTCGCGAAATTGGAAAAATTGAAAATTGATTTTTTTGTATGGAATATTGTGTGCAATTCTTTCGGAATGGCATTCGAAAGGAAAAATAGAAAATTCTAAGTGGAAAACTCGGAAAAATCCTCAAGAACGCGAAAACTTTTAATTTTTTTTCGACGAAAGCTTAGAAAGATTCGGATAATTGTGAAATTCATTGGGAACAATTTTCTCCTATGTTTCATAACCGATTCGAATATAATGCTGCTTTTTTTGGAAATGTGTTTAGAAGAAGGAGTGCACAAAGTTTTAATTTTTCCGATAGTTGGCGCAAAAAAATAATTCAGTTGGTTCGTTGGTAGCCTTTTGCCTAGATTAGCATATAGGATCAATTTTTTCCGTTAAGTGGGCCAGGGACCGATCTATTCGAAAAAGTCTAATTTATGGTCCGATTTGCTTGAAATTTTGCCCGTAGGTAACTTATTGGCTGGGTTAACATATAGGATATTTTTCTGATAGATGGACCAGATACCGATCTATTCCAAATAGAATCGAGTCATTGTTTTACAGTTCGAAAAGGCGGCGCAAACATGCAGGTATTGGCTGTTTAACAATACTATTACACAGGCCAACAAATATGGGAAATAATTTGATGCAGCAAATGTTAACGCTATTTTTGCCGAACTTTTGTGTGCTGGTTACGAATTCGTAAGCATAAAGTCTCCATCAGCCCCAGATTTTAAGAAAAACGAGGTCAAAGAAAGGGTGGAAGAACCTTCCACTTAGGCTTTGTTTAAAGCTAAAAATCTCGAATACTATCCTTGCAAATTCCTGCATCTTTACTAGATCGTCACTTATAGTCATTTGTTGAACAGGAATAACTGATTTTGGGAAGTTTGAGTACCTATCGAAATTATGCAAGAGGTGATAGAACCTTCCACTTAGGCTTAAATTAATGCCTGGACTCCTGACTTCAATCCCTGAGAATACCATTCCTGCACCTTCACCCTAAGGTCACCTATAGTCATTTATTGAACAGCTAACACTGATTTTTACACCATTTTTTCAATTGCATAATTT